TTAAGAGAATTATTTATCTATTTATTTCTCAAGAAGGAATGGATTCATCATGTCTCTAAAATACAAGGAATAGGATTCAGTGTCTCGGAATTCGTATCGAGTAAATCAAAAGACATAAATCCATAAATAAGAGTTTGTTAAGAACTCAGGATTAAGATTATTCTATATATGACCATCGGTAGACTCAATTATAATTTCTATGCTTAACGAAAATTGTTAGAAATTCATATTGTGTCTGTGTCCCTGTTCCACACAATCTTATTATGCGAAATACACTCATTTAATATCTCACCATATTAACAGTGCGGATAGTACCATTCCATTCTAAATGGGAATGACATGTATTAATAATGCTTTAATTAAAGATTCTGAACTTTAATTAAATTCATTATGAACAATGTTTATTATTATTATCATTAAACATTATCTCCTCGTATATAACACTTATATACTATGTTTATTGTTACATAAATAATCACGAAATTTTCATTTGATATTCATAAAATATTCATAAATATATGCACATAAAATGGTGAATAAACTCTTTTATTAATTAAATAATAAATATCCTGTTAGATTTTATGCTTCTAGGACACTATTCCCAACATCTTGGCCCAATTGTCTCCAGGGGATCTGTTGCCCAGAAATGTATTTTTTCAACCGCTAATCATGTCAAAATAGAGGACTCCGCAGACTGGATTGTTGATTCAGGAGCCTCAGACCACATGGCTGGTGATGCTTCATTATTTCAAGAATGTTATCCTTGCCTTGGAGAGTATAAAGTCCGGATTGCTGATGGATCACTTTCTCCAGTAACAGGAATTGGAAAAGTGATCATCTCTAATACATTAACTCTTCAGTCCGTCCTTTTGGTACCCAAATTAACGTGCAATTTGCTATCTGTCAGCAAACTTACTAAAGATTCTAAATGTGTTGCTAAGTTTTCACCCACTTCTTGTTTATTTCAGGTTTTGGATTTAGGGAAGATGATTGGCAATTCTAAGAAAAATCAGGGACTCCACTAGATTAGGGACAAAGCTTATCCTCACTCTGGGGCCTATCACTCCATAACCTCCTCAGTTCAAAATTCGGATACTTCTATGTTTTTTGATTCAAATAAAGATAGTAGCATTAGGTTACTGCATTTTCGTTTAGGACACCCAAATTTCATGTACTTGGCAAAAATGTTCCCTTCATTATTTATCAATAAAAATCCGAAATTATTCCAATGTGAAGTGTGTCAGTTTTCAAAGCATTGTCGTAGTACATATCTTATTCAAGGGTACAAACCTTCTCATCCTTTCTCAGTCATACACAGTGATATTTGGGGACCATCTCGGATTCCAAATATAACTGGTGCAAGATGGTTTGTATCTTTTATTGATGATCACACCCGAGCCACCTGGGTATTCCTTATGAAAGAAAAATAAGAGGCTGGACCCCTATTTAGGACCTTCCACTCTATGATAAAAAATCAATTTCAAGCCACTGTTCAAGTCTTTCGAACTGACAATGCTCGAGAATACTTCAATTCAATTCTAGGACCCTATCTTCTCGAGAATGGCATTATCTATCAAAGCTTATGTACAGATACCCCTCAACAAAATGGAATCGCAGAAAGGAAGAACAGACATCTCCTTGAGGTAGCCCATTCTATCCTATTTTCCAGTAATGTACCAAAACGTTTTTAGGGGGAAGCAGTTTTAACTGCTACTTATCTAATTAATAGGATGCCATCTCGAATCTTAAAGTTTAGTACACCATGCCAAGTACTTTTCAAAATCTTCCCACAAAGCCGAGTGGTGAACACTATACCACTCAAGGTATTCGGATGTTCAGCCTATGTTCATATTCCCTCTCATCAATGCAGTAAACTTGATCCTAAGTCTCGTAAGTGTTTGTTCCTAGGGTACTCTCCTCATCAAAAAAGGTATAAGTGCTACTGTCCATCCACCAAAAAGACATACATCACTATGGATGTGACCTTCATGGAAAATGTTCCATTTTATTCCAAAACCGCTATTCAGGGAGAGAAAGTGCAAGAAGAATATCAGTTTTGGGATAGCATGATGCTAGATGAACCAATGAGTGATATCACCCCTTTACATCCCGAGGCTGAGAAGGAACTCGTAGTCTACACCAGGCGGAAGAAGATTCCTAAACCAGTAGAACATCCGGAGATTCCTATGCCTTGCTAAGCAGACAACCCGAGTTCAACTCCAAATGAAGTAATACAAGGTAACACTGAATCCGAGCCTTATTCTAATGATTTGTGCGTGCCTGATGATCTTACTAAGCCAATTGCTCAAAGGAAAGGGATTAGATCGTGCACTCAACATCCTATCTCATACTTTGTGTCCTATGAGAAATTGTCTCCGAGTTACAGGGCCTTCACCGCCAATCTAGACAATATTCAGATACCAAGGAACATCCAAGAGGCGCTACTACATCCAGAATGAAAACAAGCTGTTAATGAGGAGTTAAGAGCCTTAAAAAAGAATGAACTTGGGAGCTTACACACCTTCCTCAGGGCAAACAAGCAGTAGGTTGTAAGTGAGTTTTCACTGTTAAATATAAAGCAGATGGAAGTATTGACAGGTACAAGACAAGACTTGTGGCAAAGGGCTTCACACAGACTTATGGCATCGATTATCAGGAACATTCGCTCCAGTGGCAAAGATGAATACCATTCGAGTATTACTTTCCTTAGCTGTCAACCTTGATTGGAACTTGCATCAATTTGATGTTAAAAATGCATTCCTCAATGGTGACTTGGAAGAGGAAGTATATATGGAAATTCCACCTGGGCTCGAGCAATCACAAGGCGTCAAACAGGTATGCAGACTTCGAAAATCACTATATGGTCTCAAGCAATCGCCAAGAGCCTGGTATGACAGGTTTACCAAGGCAGTTAAGGAGCAGGGATATTTGCAAGGACAATCAGATCACACGTTATTCATCAATAGAACTTCGGATGATAGGATTACAATCCTTATTGTCTATGTTGATGACATAATTATTACTGGGAACAATGAGGCAGAAATTGCTCGGCTAAAGGGAATCCTGAGTCGGGAATTTGAAATCAAAAACCTTGGAGCTCTAAGATACTTTCTTGGAATGGAGGTAGCACGGTCTAACAAAGGAATTTCAGTCTCACAGAGGAGGTATACCCTGGACTTACTAGAAGAAACAGGCATGCTTGGTTGCAAGCCTTCAGACACTCCTATGGATCCTTTCAACAAAATAGGGACTAAAGAAGATTCAGGTCCGGTAGATAAAGGAAGATATTAAAGGTTAGTGGGCAAACTAATCTATCTATCTCACACAAGACCAGACATTAGCTTCGCTGTCAGCACGGTTAGTCAATTCATGAATAGTCCGAATGAAGAGCATCAAGAAGCAGTATACAGGATTCTAAGGTACTTAAATATGTCTCCCGGCAAAGGTTTATTTTTCAAGAAAGGAACAAACAGGGGCATAGAGATCATGTCAGATGCAGATTTGGCAGGATCTTTGACTGATAGGCGATCAACCTCTGGATACTGTTCGTTTGTATGGGGAAATCTTGTCAGCTGGAGGAGCAAAAAACAATCAATAGTCGCTCAGAGTAGTGCTGAAGCTGAGTTCAGGGCCCTAGCTCACAGAATTTGTGAAGGAATGTGGCTAAGAAGACTCCTAGAAGAACTACAACTCCCAATCAAGACTCCTATGGAACTGTTGTGTGACAATCAGGTAGCCCTCAGTATTTCGAAGAATCCAGTTCTTCATGATCGCACCAAGCACATGGAAATAGACCGCCACTTTATCAAAGAAAAGATAGAGGATGGAATTGTGGAAGTTGTCTACACGCCCACACGACAACAAACTGCAGACGTGTTCACCATAGCCATTGCAAGAACTCATTTCGATACTCTACTATCCAAGCTGGGAATGATTGACATACATTCTCCAGCTTGACGGGGAGTGTGGAAAGTCATTAGAATAGGATTGTATAGCTGTAGTTTCCTATTTATAGGGATTTGATTTGTTTCTTGATTTCTCTAGATAAGGAGTTACCTAATATAGGACTGAAATCAAGGGATTTAAAACCGGCTGTGGTTATCCCTAATTGTGTATAAATAGTGGTTGTACAGAATTGTTTTCTGGAATAAGAAGAATTATTCTTTCTCCCAAAAACCTAATCCGGCTCTAAGAAATCTTCATAATTAGAGTAAATAATAGAGAAGACAACTAATAATTCATACGGCATATCTTGCCACTAACCTGTCCTCTTCTTTTTAGAGCTTTTTTAAGCTCTAGTACTAGTAACTTCTCCATCCTCAAAAAGATTAATGTCAAGATTGTCAATTGCTTCCTCTGTTTGAATTCGCCTTCATTTTCATTTCCGGCTATCCATTCATCATCAGATGGCAACTCATCAATGATTAAGGGATCCTCATCTTGCTGAAGTGCCTTCTTTTTCAAATGTCGATCTTTTAGCTTCTTGTTGAACATGATGTAGACCAAGGAATTTATCTTTTGTGCAGTCAAGCAATTTCTTCTCTTGGTATGAACTTGGTTGTGGGTACTCCAATTGCGTTCACATCCCGAAGATGAACAAGTGAGACTCAAAACTCTAACTGCAAAGCTAGCCAACTCTGGGGTACCATCTCCAAATTGGGACCACCAATCATTTAAATTTAAAATTGAGATGAAAATAATTAGTCAAACAATCTAAATTGTTTTATTAGTCAAAATTAATAAGATAGTTTCTACTTACTAGGATTGCGTTTCATGTATGATCCTTGAGCTTGACGAAGGCCAAAAAACCCATTCTTCTGTTGAAATTCATCTAGTTAGAGGTCGGCCTTCTCTAGATCATTTGGGTCCTTAAACATCCTATTCATATAATGGTACAAACCAAGCTTGATCTCAGGATGGTTGGAAGGATTATTGGAGTATCGAATCCTTGGATTCAAGTAGTATGCCGCAGCATGTAAATGTTGATGCAACTGAAAATCTCACTTTTCGTCAATGATCTCCCAAATCTCCTTGTAGTCTTTCTCTTCACCTCCCAAGTTTTTAGCAATTTCCTCTTTTGCCTTTTCCATAGCCCCATATATAAATCCCATGGCGGGCATCTTTTCAGAGTCGACAACTCTCAACACCTTCACTATGGGTTGTGTAGACTTAAGAACATACCCAACAATAACCCAAAACTGATTATCCTTCATGACTATCTTTTTCACTTCTTTTCCATCCGGTTTCTTTGCATATGAACTATTGTTCCATTCCTCCGATACAAACATAGATTGTAGAGGCTGCATTAGTCTATAGATGCACTCCAAAGTCAAATAGGCAGTAGCAAATCTTGTTGCAGCAGGTCGGACAATATCCCTTTTGGTAAACTTTCTCATCAATGACAACACCCAAGGGTGATTGTACACATAATTGCTAATTTTTTTTGCTTTCAACAAAGCCCTTTTATGTTGTGGTAATTCTCCTAGTTTCTCAAAAATCAAATCAATGCAATGAGCAGCATAAGGAGTCCAAAATAAGTGTTTTCGTTTCTCCATTAGTTTTGCTCCAGCAGCCTTATAAGCACTTGTATTGTCAGTCACAACTTGAACAACAAGATCTTCCTCAACTTCTTTAACAATCTCGTCAAGCATCTCAAACAATAGATTTGCATCTTTCTTTTTATCAGAGGTATCAACATATCTCAAGAAAATAGTTCAATGAGGATTGTTGACTAAAAAGTTGATCAAACCTTTATTTCTAGCATCTGACCAGCCATCAGATAAAATAGAAACTCCTGTTTGTTTCCAAGTCTTTTTAACTTGCTCCACAAATTTTTCAGTGGTAAGCACTTCCTCCTTCAAAATCCATGTTCTAAGCTCATGCATACTTGGGGGTACAAGACCTCTACCATAGTCGCCAATTGATCTACACATATTAAAATAGGAGGGGCTCCTAGCAATATTGAAAGCAAATGCATTTTCATAAAAGAACCTACCAATGTCGAGACATACTCGAGAACGGGCATTTTTTTCTCTTGATGTCCTTCTAAGGGAAGGTCTTTCGTTTGCTTCCTTATTATCCACATTGTTCAAAAACCTGTCCATGGGACCTCTAACTCCTCTATTACTAACCACTTGCGGCGATTGACAATAGCTGACAAATCCATAACCATAATAAGACCCAACATCCACCATTTCTTTAAATTTATGATGCGCTACCTGTTTTTCAACAGCTCACTTGTTCATATAGTCATTAATTTCTTTCTTCACATCATCAGGAACCTTAGGACAAGGCCTTACATTCTTATGAGCGCAAGCAAGGTGTTCTTTCATCCTCTTAATAATTTGATTACAAAACACACATTGGAGGTAAATATAAGTCTTTTTTTCTTTTTATGATGTAATTTCTTTTCCATATTTTCAAGCCAGATCCCGTCTCCCACTACGACTACCGCTAGCATTTTGTGGAGGTCTCATCCTAATTTTTTTTCCCTAACTTAAACCAGAAAAAAAATCAGAATTACAAGAGAAAAACAAATAATATAGCATATAGTTGTTTCTCTCATAAACACATATAAGGAACATCAATGCATAAGAATAAAAATCTTTAATATATAGATAATCGAGTAAGCCTTCAAAATGAAAAAAAAAAAAAAAAAGTTGAGTAGAAGGAACCTTGCGAAGAAGGAGGTGGCACGGCACCGGGAAAGAAGAAGAAGAAGAAAGAGGCGCATGGCGGTCGGCGATGAAGAAGGAGGCGCACGGTGGTCGGCGGTTAGCACGAAGAAGAAGAAGAAGAAGAAGGAGTTGGCTGTAAAGAAGAACGAGTCTTTGGTTTTTGGGAAGAGGCGCGAAAGAATGAGAAAGATTTCTCAGAGGGAGACGTTATGTTGAGTCTCTGGTATTTGGGCTTTTGGGGCCGACGGGCCCAATTCAATTAGGAAAATCCTATAAACGCAAGGCGTGCACCTGACTAACCGCCTGAGGCGCTGCTCAAAGGCGTGCGCCTTAAGTGGCTGAGGTGCACGCCTCAACTCTTACCCTCTAAGGCATAGGAATGGAGGCGCTTTTCTAGCGCCTCGCCACGAGGCGCGCCTCAAGGCGTGCGCCTCAGGCGCTTTTTAAAACCTTGGTTCTGTCAAAGGCCACGCAATCGAACTATATCCCCTGACGAACTTCCGATAGTACCCTGTGAGCCCAAGAAACTCCCTCAACTCCTTCAATGCTTAGGTAATGGCCATTCCCGCATTGTCGCAACCTTAGATGGGTCTGCCGCAACTCCCTTTGCCAACACTACGTGCCCTAAATATTCCACCCTCGTTTGAGCAAACAGGCATTTCTTTCGATTAGCATAGAGCTGTTGGCTTCGTAACTCCGTCAACACCCTCTCCAAATGGCGGACATGGTCTTCCAATGTGCTACTATAAACCAAGATGTCATCAAAAAATACCAAAACAAACTTACGCAAATAGGGTTGGAAGACTTTCTTCATCAACGACTGAAAAGTGGCTGGGGCGTTGGTGAGGCCAAACGGCATGACTAGGAATTCATAATGACCTTCATGGGTCCGAAATGCAGTCTTTTGCACATCCTCACACCGTATTCGAATTTGATGATATCCTGACTTCAGATCGATCTTCGTAAACACCGTCGCTCCATACAACTCGTCTAACAACTCATCAATCACCGGAATCGAAAACTTATCCAACACCGTTTCCTTATTCAATGCCCGATAGTCGACACAGAATCTCCAACTCCCATCTTTTTTCTTTACTAATAAAATAGGGCTCGAAAACGGGCTTACACTCAGCTGTATTATTCCTGCCTCCAACATCTTATTGACCAATCTCTCGATCTCATCTTTCTGTACCTGTGGATAGTGATACGGCCGTACACTCACTGGTGATACCCCTTCCTTCAACCCAATCGCGTGCTCCTGAACCGACTTGGTAACATTCGTCGTCGCCTTATTCCGCTCTCCTTCCATGATATGCAACTCAACCAAGAAGCCATTCTTCATGTGCAGCTCCTTCTGTGCATCTGATCTTTCATGTCATCGAAATCGAAGAGGGACAACTAGTTAGCTTTCAATTGGCATTGGCCTACTTACTTCTCCACTTTTCGGCCTAACGACTGCTACCTTTTTCGATTGCTTTCATTCCTTTCTTTGTGTTATACCTTTCGTGCCCTACGACGAGTAGGCCACTCACTCCCTTTAGAGTCGCCTTAACCATGGTTTTGAGGGTCACTAGGGTTTTGCACAAACTTGGATCTCCGCGAAGTACCACAGTGTGACCTCCCTCCTGAAACTCCATTGTCAAGAGCTTCCAATTTACCCTCGTCTCACCCAATGACTGCAACCACTTCATTCCCAGAATGATGTCTGTGCTACCCAAATCCAAAGGAAGAAAATCTTCCAACACTTGAATTCCTTGGAGCGTTAAAATCAGCCCTTTACAAATTCCTCTACTCCTCTCCATGGTACCATTACCCATGACCACCCCAAGATTGCTGTTGTCGACTAACCGAAGTCCTAACCTCTCCACCACTCGATTGGAGATGAAATTATGAGTCGCTCCACTATCCACCAACACCACCACATCCTGCTCTCCAATTTTCCCAACCAACTTCATAGTGTGGTTCGGTGTGAACCCCACCACCGAGTTGAGCGAGACCTCCGTCACATCCAAATGAGGATGCTCTTCCTCCTCTATCACATCTCCTATAGTCTCCCCCTTGTCGCCCTCATCATCACATACCGTAAGGACTTGTAATGAGCGATTCTTACACCGGTCCCCCGGAGAAAATTTTTCGTCGCACCGGAAGCACAACCCTTTCGCTCGCTTGTCCTGTATCTCTATCTCCGTTAGATGTTTGAAAGTACCCCCTGGTCGCACTCCTCCCATTTTATCTTTCGTTGTATCCCTCTGAACCCCCAACGTCTGAGTTTTCACCCCTCCTCCTGAAACAGTATTCCGGTATTGGAAAACACTGGAGTTACTTTTGTTAGCCCTCTCCGTCTTATTCTTATCCTCAATCATTTGGGCCAACTCCATGGTCTCGCCAAGCCCCCTCGGCCTCAACAACCGCACCGCTGCTCGAATCTCCGGTTTCAGCCCCTTCATAAAATTTCCCTCCAATACTGCCTTCGAGATTTCCCTCAAACGCCCCGAGAGCAGTTCAAACTTCTCTCTATAATCCATAACAGTCCCCTCTTGTGTTAGAGCAAAGAACTACTCGTGTAAATCCCCCTCCTGGGTAGCCCTAAAGCGCTCGATCAATCAGTCTTTAAACTCTTCCCACGACCTTATTGGTTGTCGCTGTTCCCGCCATTGAAATCATGACAATGCTTTGCCTTCCAAACACAATGCCGCTGCCATCAACTTCTCTTCCTCCGTCAACCCGTTGATAGCAAAGCACCTCTCAACTAGGTAAAGCCATCCATAAGCATCTTCCACTTCAAATAGTGGCATCTTTAATTTCCTCACTCTTGAATCCACGCCCCAAATGTTTCGATTATTACCGACACCTCCCATGAAACGTGGGTTTTGGCCCTGCCCATACCCCATCTGCCAATCACCCTCAAAATCTCCCTGTCCTCCAAAAGTAGCCCCTGTCCTTGGAGGAAAATCAACCTGCCCAGACGTGAAATCTCCAAACTCAGCCCTAAAATCCCTAAAATTGGCTCCATAAGGTCCCAAATCGCCCCTCCTTTCTTGTCCAAAACGCGCGCCGCCGCCTTCCACCGCCTAGGCCTCGCCGGCGGGCGGCGCGTCTCCCCCTTTTTTTTCGCCGGCGGCCGGCGATTCTCCCCATGCGCCGCCGTTCCAACCCCCGCTGGCCCTCTGGTCAGGCCTCGCTCCAAAACCCCCTCGAGCGCCGTCGATTTCCCCTCTCAAATCCTCGCCTGACCAAGTTCTCAGCCGTGTCGATGGCCGCCGTTGACGGCGTCGGTGAACCTGCCGCCGCCGGAGGGTTAGTGTGAAGATCCATCAATTTCTTCAACATTTCCTCCAAGTTATTGAACCGTCCTTCCACGTTGTTGAATCTGTCCTCCATGGCAGAAAATCTTCCTTCTGTAGTTGTCTTCATCTCCGCAACCTCAGATTCCAATCTTTCTCTAAGAGCATCCATCTTCTTGGCAGCCATCTCCCCAGGAAAGAGCTCTGATACCAATTCGATAGAAATCAAATTGGAAATCAAGTAGAAATTGAAAGAAACAAATGACCTCTGCAAAGTCCACTCATATCAACGTAGTGTGCAGTTAGACACAAATAATTAATATTTTACAAGGATGTCCAACAATCAGTTGTTAGGTAAATCCTTTGACTGCCCTTACTAAATTCAGCCCTTAGTTTCTTCCTCTCTTCCAAAAAAAGTTGGTAAATGTCCTTAGCAATCGTAACATGGGAGGGGATAGAGAACCTAGGCTGCGTCACTTGACAAAAATTCATAAATCATTCACTTTCAACAAACCTAAATGAAAGCTCATCTACAATCACCATTTTTGCTAACGCTTTTCTACAATGCTCCTTGTTAAAGCCTATAGCAACAAGATTACTGCCAGTTTCAGTGTTTGTTTGGAAACTCAGAGTTTTTTGCTTTTTGTCTTGGATCCTATATGGGTATTTATTGCATTGCTTTTCTATGTGAACCTTCATACTACTGGTGCCATGTATCCTACTATCACACGCATATGTTGCCCCACAATAGATGCACTTACACCTAGGCTCATTTGGATCCTCACCCTCTATGATTTTGAAATGATCCCAAACATGAGACTTTTTTTGTGACTTTTTCCTCTTTCTACTATCTCCCTCCTCTTTAGGCACAGGGGTAGGGCTGGGTGTAGGAGTAGGCAAGGTAATGGGCTCTTTAAGCACAGAGACAGAGGTTGGATTTTTGGTCTGGCATTGGTCACTTTCTGTTTCAGCAGAGGACTTGCAAGTGCTTTCAGAAGTTTGTGTCGGTTGGATGATAAATTTTTTCATCTAGCACACAATTTAACCTAAAAACAGATAACATATGATTGAGACTAACCTTTATAAAAAACATAATATTTCCCAGAAAACAAAAAACAGAAAAAAAAACTAACATTTATGTTTCAGCCTTGCCTTCAATGAAGATTGTAGTCTTCTCTTCACTCTTCTTTCTCGGCTGGCCTGGAAACAATAACGATTGTCGTGAGATATTTT